GCGGGGGGGGGGGGGGGCCCCCCCCCCCCCCCAGCCACAGGCTGCTCAGCAGCAGCATCAGGACTGAGGAGGCCAGAGGCAGCGCTGGGGATGGCAGGCCCGGGGGGCCCCTGGCATACATAGCTTGGTTGAGGGTGTTCTGGGGGGTCCTGGGGCTGTGTGCTGGGGGTAAAGGAAAACAATAACAAGTTATTAGTGCAGCTTTTACCTCACTGACTCCTTCTCCAGTACCTTATCAGTAGCCCCATTTTACAGATGGCATCAGCGGCTCTGGACCAAGGAAGTGGGGCCAGCTAATGGGCAGGCAGATTGGGGAGGGTGAGAAGAGCCATACAGAGGGACCTAGGACTGAGCCAACCCCTTCCTCTCCAGCTCTGAGCACAGCCCCCGTCTGGCCATAGGCCCCCTTTCCATATCCTCTCCACCTCTTCCTGCTGCATCCCCAACCTCTGGGCCTCTGCTTCCTCATCTGTAAAATGGGGTTTAAGAATAAGCCTTTCCTTAAAGGGTAATGAGAAAAAGGAACAGACTAAAGCAGACCCTGGCCCCCAGCTCGAATTCCTCTAATTTTAGGAAGCATATGTAGCCACTAACAGGCCCACCAAGACAAGGCCCCAATTTGGAGGCAGTCTAGCTGGTCCAAGCCCTGGCCCTCAACCATGGCCATTTCCTGCCCACAAACTAAAACTTCTTCTCCCCTGCGCTCCCTGCTCAAGTCCCTGCTAGACCATCTTCAGTCCTGGCCAGGCCTCTTTGTCCCAGGACTCCTACTGAGCTGATTCAGGGCGGGAAGCAGGAACCCCAGAGACAGGCTGCTTCGTCTGCTCCCTTGCCAAAGGCATTCTTTACATCTGCCAGGTTCTTGCAGGAAAAAAATCGAAAGCTCCTCTTCCTACGTGCAATGCTCTCCTCTCTTATTTCTCCAAGCAAACTCCTATTCAGTCTTTGAAGCCCAGCTCAAATGTCCCCTACCCTTCCTCAGGCCCTCACATTATGGATCTTATTCTAAGGAGCAGAGCTTGGCCTGTCTGTGTCCCTAGGCAGGTGGTCTGTGCTCATGGAGGAAGGGGGCTCTCCTTACTCATCTAAAAGTTACCCAAGGTACTCCAACACACAGCCTGTGCTTTATCAGCGTTTACTGAAAGAACTAGCCTGAATTCTCAGTCCTGCTGAGGGATTTGGGGTGAGACCTGCCCTTCCCCAGGGCCTGGGTACCTACCTACCTAGGGGGCTGGGCTAAGAGCCAGGAAAAAGGGCAGGTGCCAGCAGCGCCTGGAGAAAGGGTCTGGAGCCAAGGCACCCACTGCAAGCCCCCTCCTGTATCCTCACAACCATCCTTCCCACCCGGTTTTAACCTAGGAACTGGGACCTGACCCCCGTGGTGTGCACCATCAGGCCCTGCCTACCTTACTGGGAAGCCAGGACAGAATGGGAAGACAAGGACGGGGAAGTCTTCTAGGTAGTGGACGGGGGTGGGGGGGTGGTTTCTCAGGGTCTGGGTCGAGCTCAGCTTTGTGACTTTGGGGTCAGTAATCAATTTCCTTGGGCCTCAGTGTCCCCTTCTGTAAAAACAAGGATATTGGATAGGAAATGATTAAAGGATTTTCACATTTTTGACCGTTACCGGAGGCGGGGGTCTCGGGGCCGGGCGGGGGCGTTCGGGGGCCTCCCACCCAGGCGACCGGCCTCGGGCCCCCTCCCGCACCGGCCCGGGCCACGTGTCCGGGGTCCTCACTGCGGA